TCCTAAAATAAATAAATAATTTGAAAATGGCACATAACATGATTAGGGCATTTTGTAGATAAATTCATGTAAGAGGATCATTGACTAATTATACAACTTTAATAACCATTGCTTGATGAATAAATGATTTCGACCATGCATGGCATCTCTCGTGATGAGTCTTCGCGACACGATAATCCCTACAACAAATGAGCCGATGCTGCGATTCTTCGATTTGCGATCAATACTTTTGTTCATGCCAATGTCGAGATGATCTAAGACGGGATAATTTGCTTCGCATTTCAGCAATTTAGTAAAGGATATCTACATATCACCGGTGCTTCTCAGTGTGACTTTGAATTTGAATTTGGGAACATCGAATGGCACCAATCTCATCTTAGAATAGATCTCGAAAGCAACCGATGAAACTACAACATCTCTGATTGGGTTTTTGTGCCATGAAGTCTTATAACTTATGTATTTGGTAAGGGAACGAACAGGTTTTTTGTCTGGAGATTATGGATGCGTTTACTTCACGGAAAATGAATGATTTGAAACATATTTTTTTTAAAAATAATTACGTATATCACTTGAAATAATTAATTAATAAAAAAAATTTTTAACGTCAATAATAATTTATGTCTAAATATTTTAGTAAATGATAAAAATATTTTTTGTTTATTTATTTTGTTAAGAAATATGATCGATTAATTATTATTTTTTGTGAAATAAACGGAGCGGCGATAACAACAACAATGCATCAACTGTTGTTCATGACGACGACCTTGTTAAGAATTTCTGTTTTCACATGCGACGACCTTGTTCGCACGAGGATGGGCATTAGTCTAACCAGCTACTTCATGGACACTAAGTGACGTGCGGGACGACCGCTCGGCTTTTGTATTTATAAAAACTTGGTAAATTATCAAAAAGAAAGTCCTAAATATATTGTATTTGTGTCCATTCAATCCTAAACATTTCAAATTAACTTTGATGATTTGCCAACGTAATCTTTCCGGTCAATTTTGCCAGAAATCGGTGACGTCGACGTCCATTGTCCTACGTGGTATGGTCGGCACCAACGTGGATAATTTGTCTAATTTTATTTAAAAAATTCCACGTCAGCACTAGTCATCCTAAGTGATACTGCCGGGATCCACATTAGCTTGGCCAGAATGACTATATTGGCAAATACTTTGATTAAATTGGCCAAATTAAAATGTTTATGACCGAATTGGTATAAATGCAATAAGTTTATGACTTTCCTGGTAATTCTATTATGCAAAATTAATAGGTGGGCCAAATCGAAATAAACAGTTCAAAGCATGACGTGCTTTCGAGACGGAAATTTGGAAGCATTTAAGTCTAACGTATCACGTAAGGTGCAGTCAATTTCTTGGCGAATAGTCTACACTACGAACAAACAATCTTCTCATGTGCTATGATGCTACAAAAGTCTCTTTTGGCTCGTCGTGCGGGTCACTCTTTTATTTTTATCATCGACCAAATTATAATGGGGGGGGAGAAAGTGGTTCGCTCGGAGGGGTTTCGCACGAGACACGTCGCGGTCGTTGGTCGAGAGAGAATCTTCCGCCGCTCCAGCGCGTTCACACTTCGCGTTGGAAAAATTGTCCCGGACACACGACACGACAAGGGACGTGCGAGGACCAAATTGACCCCGGTTTTGCCTCCTTTTTTTACTATATTGCCCTCATAGCATTCCCTTGGAGCCGTGGAGGTGGCAAGCAAGCGCTTGTGTGTGTTTTTGTGACTGAGAAATTAAAGGTGTGTTGCATGATTTAGGAGCAAATGAACTCAATTTGGGAAAAAAATAAATTAAAGCAACTAAAAGCCTGCCGAAATCTTCCCTTAAACATGTATACTCCCGATAACAACCGGATAAAAAAATAAAAAATGAGGAAAAATATTTCGGATAATCTTGCCCAGATCCACAATCATCTCTTTTGCGCTTCTTCTCGGGCGCTTCATTCTTACGAGATAAGGAGCTTGCCGGACATGTTACTCGGAATTGAGATCGTCGAGCATATTGTTCGCAATGGCTATGGGATTAATGACACTTGCTGTTGTGCTTTGGTGAAGATTGGGTCACTCTTGTCACTCTAATTCATCGATATTGTCCATAATAATGTCGTTTTTAACAACGATGTTGTCCTAAAAGGGAATCGTGATCGCATGGAAACATCGTCGTACATTGACATGTTCACTTGGTTTCAATGTAATAGGTGTTATGGATAATTTACGCAATCATAAATATAAAAAAAATTCGAATTTGAATGTTGTGATAGGCAGAGTAGCTTCTTTGAGCATGTTTGGTTCAGCATTTGAATGCTGCTTTGAGGCTCTAAAGTCCCTTGAGCAAATGCAAAGTTGTTTGGCAAATTTTTTGGCAAGCTTTTGAGGAGATGCAATTGCATCTCCAAAGCTTGGAAAGGGCCTTTGGCTGAATGGAGTCCATGAGGAGCCTTGGGAAGTTGCATTTTTGAAATGCAATCGGGGCATTGTTCATCGCGCACTGTTCATCGTCTTCCCAAGCAGCTGGTCCGGTGGCCGACGACCGCCGCCTAGGGTCGCGCAACCCCGGTGAATGCTGCCTAGGGTTGCCGGACCTCGGGGGTCGCGCGACCCCGTTGACGCCGCCTGAGGTCAGGCGAGGCTAGCCGGTGACTAGATCTGGCTGATGGCAATGGCCGACGGTGGTGGTCGGTTGGAAAGTTTTTTTTTTTTTAAATATTAGCAAAAGTTTTTTACAAATAATTTTTACCAAACGGTATTTAGGCCAAAGTTGTTTTTAAATGTGATTTTAAAATACACATTACCAAACACTATTTGCATTTCGAAAAACCTTTTTAGCTCAAAGGCCTTTGCATTTTGCCAAATACATTCCCTAAAGCCAAACCAAACAGGCCTTTTGTCTACTCTCAAAAGTTAAGAAAATTTAACTGATATGGAGCCCTATTTTGTTTACTAATTTACATTTTTTCGCAAGGATAAAAGAATTGCCTCTTTTTTACCTTATGTAAGGATTACATGTAATTAATAATGCATGATTACAAAAACCTCTAATAATAAATTTGAAAACGTAACATTCATACATATCCTTTGGTAGCCATACATTTGCAGATGGTATAAAAGTTTGAAATTGAAATTTCTTTCAAGTTTGCTCCTAATAATATAGATAGATACATATCTCGCAACGATTTGATTGTACTCTTACTTTTAAAAAAGAAGAAGAAAGAAGGGTTAATACCACGAAAAACCCTAAACTGGTACATTTGTGACACATTTACCCTAAACTATTTTTTTTACCATAAAAAACCCCAAACTGGTACACTTATGACAATTTTACCCCGAACTATTTTTTTGACCATAAAAAATCCCAAACTGGTACACCTGTGACAATTTTACCTTGAACTTACTACAAAAAACCTCAAACTGGTACATATGTGACAATTTTACCCTGAATTAAAATTTTAATATTATTGTTTTTATTTTTTTCGAATTTTTATTTATTTTATTTATTTTTTTCCTTTTATTTTTTTTCTTCATCTTTAACCTCTGGCCGGTCGCCGGTCCGGCGACTAGCCAGAGGCGGAAGCCGGCGAGGGCTGCCCTTGCCGGCGTCGGGCGAGGACCGTCATTGCCGGCGTCGGGCGAGGGCCGTCCTTGCCAGATCCGGCGAGGGCGACCCTCGCCGGTATCGGGCGAGGGATTCCCTCGCCTGCGTCGGGCGAGGGCCGCCCTCGCCGGCGTCGGCGAGGGTCGTCCTCGCCCGGTCCGCAAGGCCGACCCTTGCCGGTATCGGGCGAGGCTTCCTCGCTGCGTCGGCGAGGGCCACCCTCGCCGGCATCGGCGAGGGCATCCTCGCCCGCCCGGGGACAAGGGCGACCCTCGCTGCGTCGGGCGAGCGACCCTCGCTGCGTCGGCGAGGGCGCCTCCGGCGTCCGGGCGAGGGCTATCCTCGCCGCCCGGCGAGGACGACCCTCGCCGACGCAGCGAGGGGTCGCCTCGCGGATCCGGCGAGGGCAACCTCGCTGGGTCGGCGAGGGCCACCTCGCCGGCGTCGGCGAGGACACCCTCATCCGACGCCGGCGAGGGCCGCCTCGCTAGATCCGGGCGAGGGCCGCCCTCGCTAGATCCCGGGAGGGTCACCCTTGCTGAGTCGAGCGAGGGCCACCTCGCCCGGCGCAGGGCGGCCCTCGTGAGCTCGCCTCGGCCGTCGCCGGGCCGTGATCGGCGAGGTTGAAATTGAAGAAAAAAAACGAAAAAAAATTCAAAAAATTAAAAATAATATTAAAAATTAGTTCGGGGTAAAATTGTCACATTGTACTGCAGGTTTGGGGTTTTGTGGTATGTTCGGGTAAAATTGTCACGGGTGTCTGGGTTTGGGGTTTTTATGGTCAAAAAAATAATTTGAGGTAAATGTGTCATAAATGTACCAGTTTAGGGTTTTTCGTGATATTAACCCAAGAAAGAAAGTGAAAACGTAATTTCCAATTTATCCCAATACCCCCACACAACTTTACTCTGGTAAATTAACCCGCAACCCACGAGGGCAACCCTGTCATTTCCCATTTCTGGCCGCCCTCCCATTTTTTAGGCAATTAAAAAACATTAAAACGTTTTAAGATTCCCTGCTCCAAATTTCCTTGCTCCGTTCGGCTCGACGTTTTTTAGGGTGGCTACGTCCCCGCGTGGGGGCCACACGACTTGAGCGAAGCCCATGGTTTTTCACAGGTCCGTCCAAGGCCACACGTCGCGTCGTTTCGTCACGCCTCCTTTTCTCTCTCTTTGGAAACCCTCAAGGGGGGGGGCCAATCAGGACCGCCCGTACTTGTCGCCTTTGGAAGCGCCCTCGGCCGTCCAATCCAATCCCGTCCCCCTCGCCCCCGGCCGCGATGCGGCCGCAGGATCTGGGGCAAAAGAGATCCAACGGCTCGAGCGCGGCGACAAGGCTTTTCCCGGATCACGAGGTGCGCGACCCTCTATTTATTATTTAACCTCCCCCTATTTACCACCTGTTTGACTCGGACCTGCGCGTGCTCTCTTGCTCGCTACCTCGTCTTCTTCTTCTTCTTCTTCTTCTTCCTCCGAGCTCCTAGCGGAAGGGATTCAGAGAGGGTTCCTCGCCGCCCGTTCCTCGATTCCCGGCTTCGAAGGTACGTCCCGATTCGCCGATCGTCGACGCTTTTCCGTTCTTCCGCGTTTCGTTTCGATCTGTGTCTTGAGCGCGGTTCGATCCCTGGGGCCTGTGTTGGAACGGAGTTTAGATCGTCGTCGCGCCTTGTTGTGGATTGCGTTCCTGCGTTCGCGCTGGGTGGTGCGGTGGGTGTTGTCGATCCGAGAGTGATGAGTTGTGTGCGCGCGCGCGTTTTGATCTGGTTGGTTGTGCGATAGGGGAAGAATCATGGGGAAGTCGTACCCGACCGTGAGCGCGGAGTACAAGAAGGCTGTCGAGAAATGCAAGAGGAAGCTGAGGGGCCTCATCGCCGAGAAGAACTGCGCTCCACTCATGCTCCGTATCGCGTACGCTCTTTCTCTTTGACTAGGGATCTCTCGTAGAGGCTTTGGAGAGGGCTGTGGATAGTGGTGTGAGAATCTCTGTGCGATGTTGGGTGTGTGTGCAGGTGGCACTCTGCTGGTACCTTTGATGTGAAGACGAAGACTGGTGGTCCGTTTGGGACCATGAAGCACGCGGAAGAGCTCAGCCACGGGGCCAACAACGGGCTTGACATCGCTGTCAGGCTCTTGCAGCCGATCAAGGATCAGTTCCCTACCATCACTTATGCTGATTTCTACCAGGTCTTTTCCTTTGTTCCGTTTTGACTGTGCGGACATATGGAGAGCAAGTCTTGCAATCTGGTTTTTTTTTTTTTTTTTTTTTTTTTTTTTTATGGCTTATGCAGCCGTGGACGACCATTTTGTTCTGAATAACATTTATTTGTGACCTCGACTCAATGGTGCTGTCCAATGTGATACAGCTGGCTGGCGTCGTTGCTGTGGAAATTACTGGTGGACCTGAAGTCCCTTTTCACCCTGGAAGGGAGGTCGGTGATCTTGTTTGCTTTCTTTTTATCATGGCAGGATCTATGCCTTCATACATGATTTGTATATACGCAGTTGTAATATGACCCGCAATTAAGGTTTTAACGTGAGAGATGCCAAAGATTTTAGTACAGAACTGCATATAATTTGTGTTTTAAAGACTTGCAATGTCGATGTGTCTAGAAGCAGAAGAGGGATGATGAAGATCAGTGGAATTACGCATACTGGGTTCTGATATGTCCTAAGCTGAAAATAGTTCTTATATTAACCACAACACGTTTGGCCTCTATATATTATCTGGTTTGATGCCTTCTCTCGTTAGGCATGTTGAAGTTTTATACGGTTGCTGTTCTTATATGCCCCTTGAACCTGACCACGTGGATCTTGTATGCATTTCTTGGAATTGCAGGAGATATATCAATGTTCTGATAGTAGAGTAAAACTATTCCCTTGTTTTAAGATTCATTCTTTCTGGAAACTTCGTTAAAAAAATATTTTTCAGATCGCCTTTAACCAACACTGTTGTGTTTTGGTTTGCTAATCTGGGTAGTGCATGCCTGGGCGCTTGCGCTCACTTTTCCAAACTATCTTTATTACGTGTGGAAGCCTCTAACATAGCATATGTGTGCTGTAATGATCCCTCGGAAATTTCTGAGAGATGTCTACTGATATGCTTTGAGATAATGTAAGCAACGTGATTTCTAACCGGATGCTGTACTGCGTTTTGTGCGCTGACATTTTCGATGGCCTAGAAGCTTTTGCTTTGTCTCGGTTTGCATCTTTTCTGCATTCATAATTGTTTGCACTTTGCTGTAATGTCTATTGGCTTTCATCTTGATGCTTATTACTTCGTTATTTGTCTTGACATATTTTCACATTTATCCACCAAATCCAGGACAAACCAAAACCACCTCCTGAGGGCCGTCTGCCTGATGCTACCAAGGGTCAGTTTATGTCCAGCATTTCCAATATAGATCCTTGATTGAATGTTAATCTATCTTCATATCTTCGACATTTCTTGCAGGCTCTGACCACTTGAGACAAGTGTTTAGTGTTCAGATGGGCCTTTCTGACCAGGATATTGTGGCCCTCTCTGGTGGGCATACCCTGGTTCGTGCTCAAACCTAAGATCCTTTCATGAATTCTGATTTTGTTAAGTAGGATACTATTCGTAGCAGATAAGTTTGTTGGTGTTGCAGTGTTATGTTATCGTATTTGCCACCAAATTATATTGGCTTTACTTTCCTTCACGGTGATATGCTCTGTAAAGCTGATGTCATATCCCGTTATTGCATTAAGTTCATTCCTTTGCTCTTTTGGTGGCACTCAATTAACAGGGAAGGTGCCACAAAGAGAGGTCTGGATTTGAGGGACCCTGGACAGCGAATCCTCTCATATTCGACAACTCGTACTTCAAGTGAGGCTTCTAATCTTCCCGTTTTCAATCCATTGTCGGATACAGTTATTGCTGACTGCATGCTCATATGATGATTGCTTGAATCTTCGACTAGGGAATTGTTGAGCGGAGAGAAGGAAGGACTTCTTCAGCTGCCATCTGATAAGGCTCTTCTTGCTGACCCTGTTTTCCGCCCTCTTGTTGACAAATATGCTGCGGTGTGTGTTTTTGTCTTGTCCAAAATTTCTGTGCTGCTGTATGCTGGAGCTCATCGAACTTTATATTTGATTTAGGATGAAGATGCGTTCTTTGAAGATTATGCTGAAGCCCATCTGAAGCTCTCTGAGCTAGGGTAACATTTAAATTTTGAAAGTCATTCAACACTTAAATGTATACTTAATCGATTTCTTTGGCAAATATTATCATTGAACTTGGACTTCTTTGCAGGTTTGCTGCGGCGTAAGAACTTGAAGTTGAAGGTCGGAGCAGGTGCTACAATCTAATGTCACATGCTTTTTTGGTTTAGAATGTGGAATGTTCTATTTGGTTGTCGGTTGGCGAAATTGGATGCTTTTTGTTAATTTTGTTGAACATGTTAAAGATTCGGAATTTCAGGACCGAATGCTGTGAAAGTCATCCTTTATATAAATAAGAGCACATTCTGCATACCTTCTGCTCCTTTCCTTTTCCTTGATTTGTCATCCATCTGCCTCTGTTGGTCAACATGTGGAGCATTCGATGTGGAAGTAAGTTTGATGTATATATGTTTTCGTGGTTCAATACATGCGCCAAGCTGCATTGGCGAGATTACTTGGTACATTTGGGACATGCGACCGCCGAATTTGTCTCCCATATTTATGGGTGCATCCTATGATTACACTAAATTCTAAACCTTAATAAGTGAAACCTGGTCTAAAGCCTGACGGTCTAGCCTGTTTTGCGATCATTTATGTTATGAACCCAGCCATCCTTGGAAGTTTATGCTTTTTATCGTCGAATTTTTGTGGACCGACAGTCCCCTCAGTTTACCTGAATACTTTCCCTCAGGGCTCCAATCGTATCTCGTAGTTCCTTCTCTTATATTGAGGAAACTTCCTTATCCTTCAGCAAGTGTTAAGGAAAAAATATGAGTTAAGTGCTGGACAATGTTTAGCCGAAAAAAACCTCACGAAAAGATTCAACCCAGGAGGTCTCTCTGCTCTCCTCCAAAATGAAAGAGAAGAAAAACCTTGGAATATCTATTTCTCATGCCTGGTTGAAAAGAATAGTCATAAGATAATGTGCTAGTATGTTTTGATTAAGGGAGAAAGAAATGTGATTGACCTGTCGCACCTAGAGATGAAGGGTTTCAAGGTGAGTAGGTTCGAATCCTGGAACTTGGAATCTACCTTATAGGGATCGGTTCTCAATTTTTTGGATTATGGAATTTATCCTGCAGACCCTAGAACCGACTTTTTTGAAACTTTAAACTGACCCGGTCCAATTCGGTTCCAGGGTCTACCCGGAAACCGATCGATCCTTTTTTTGTTTCATTTTTTTTATTTCTTGAAAAGACAAATTTTACTTAAACATTCCCTAATTTACAACCGCAAAATAGTAGAGCAACAAAATGGCGAGAAGTACGGTACAAAACAAACAGAAATATAAAGCAATTGGAAAGTGTCAAACTTATTTTTTAGTCATGCACAATAAAAGTTAAAGCAACAACAGAAATTTTCATCCGCCAAAAGCAACAATCCATAAATGATGAAAAAACTATGGCATCTTCAACTACATTATTAGGGAGTGTTGAGAGCCGTCAGACAACTTGAAAGAAGTGAATTCTATGATGGAGGTGGAGATCCAACAATACATATCCCCAAAGTTTGTTCAATGTGCCGGCATTCATCAAGTTGGAGATAGATTGGATGCCACTAGAAATTGGAACTTACCTTGTCGGGACCAATAGTCGCCAAGTAAGAATAAACGGTTTCAAGGGTAGGTAAATTCCGGACTCGAAAATCAAAACCTACCACGTCAAAACTGATTCATAAGTTTCAGAAAATGGCACCTACCTTGTAGACCTTAGAACCGAACCGAAACCGACTAGGTAAGGTAAGTCTGGTCCGATTTCAAGATCCATCCCAGATCGGTTCTCGCCTCTAGTGGCACCGATTCTTTAAAAATGTACCAGAGTATGAACCCACCACAACTCCCATTTCTATTCTACTGGTTTTATTATTTGAACCTAGAGCTGAACAGTTGGTGTCAACATATCATAATCACATTTATAATCATGTCAGCGTCGAAACATCCCATCTCTATTTAACAAGCGAAATAATTAACTAATTATAAAAACTGATTAATCTATGTTAAGATTTTCCTTTTTATCTGTTTGGTACTTTGCTTAAGCCGTATCAACATTTACTAGCCCTACTTAAACTACCCGGTGAAGAAAATTTGTAAAGGAAACTAATTTCAGCAAGCGTTCATCAACGCTACCTTAGTCGATCGGGTCTTGGCTTCAATATGATCTAGCGTGATTCAATCTTGCGTTTCACTGACTAAAAGATTTGGATGGTTTTGCGGCTTTAATTCACTCGGCAAATTTTTGTTCGAGTCTAAGGCCAAATCGAGGGTAATCACCTCTGTTAGATTTAGCGAGGTCTCCATAATTAATGGTTGCAATTGATTTGGTTCATCGTGAATCGGTCCGCATTTATTTTTTTCATGTTGTGCGATTTATAATTGCGGAAAGAGCAATGGCCCAATTCCAAATTTGACTCTGTCGGGACATGGAGTCAACTCGCACGGGCTTCCTCCCCGACCAACACGCTCTTCTTTGGACACGTATAAACCACTTAAAAAACTAACCAATTTAGAATTAGAAAACGCTCAATTTACTAACATTGATTTATAAAAATGCTTTCCTATGTAATGTGTCGAAGAATGACAAATTCTTGAATATGACCCACTTGTTTAAAGGGCCACTTATAATTCGGCATATTGCTTGAGTAAGCCAATTTGGTAGACGGGTCTTAATAAGTCTACCATTGCTTAATAGAATTCATTTCTAAACTTTGGCTTCGAAATATCGGCGCATGGATTCGAGGTTTCAAATTCCTTCGATGATTATATAAGTTGTAACTTTTTTAGATTTTCAAATTGCATAAGTCATGTCTTGTCTCCTCACTCATAAGTCAACTCGATAAGTGATTGAACTGTCAAAAGCTAGTCTGGGTCGTGATATACTTGTTTTAGATGTGAAAAATGTTGTGATTAAATCACCATGTTTTCCACTTATTTAATGTTAATCAGGAGGCACGATTGCCAACTTAGGTAAAACTTTATATGATGCACATAAATAGGCTGTGCGCATTGGTGGTAAATTGGTAAATCTCTTCAGTGGATTGGACTGAGCTAGATACTATGCCTAAAAATCCTTATTCATGCCCACCGACAAATGAACAACATACTAAGGTGCGTTTGTTTCAGAAAAAGTATTTTCCGGGAATTTATTTTCCGGACTTTCACCTGTTTAGTTCATTGAAAATAATTAGTCGATCGAAAACACTTTCCGATCAAGAAAAACATTTATGTATAAAATTAGGAAAGTGAATTCCCTAATCTAAGAAGGTGAAAACACTTTCCGTAATTGCTTCCCTTTACTTTTTTTAATATTTTATTCTTTTCTTTCTTTTTCTTTTTTATTTTTAAAAATAAAAATATTTGAAAATTCGAAATTTTTTTTTGCCTGAGATAAAATCACGGGATTGAAATCATTTTCCAAATGAGATCCAAACACCAGAAAATGTTTTCGATCACATATCACCAAACAAAGGAAAACTAACTATTTTCCTGGAAAATGATTTTCCGTAAAATATTTTCCAAAAAGTTACATTTTCCGTAAAACAAACGCACCCTAAGGATGTATTTGTTTGAGGAAAAGTGTTTTCCGGGAATCTACTTTCCGGACTTTCACCCGTTTGGTTCACCGAAAATAATAAGTCAACTGAAAACACTTTCCAGTCAAAGAAAACATTCATGTATAAAATCAAGAAAGTGAATTCCCTAATCTAAGAAGGTGAAAACACTTTCCGAAATTGCTTATCTTGAATTTATTTTCTTTTCTTTTCTTTTCTTTCTTTTTTTATTTTTCTTTTCTTTCTCTTTCTTTTCCTTTCTTCCTCCCTCCGCCGGTCGCTGGCCTCGGCGATAGGCCACAAGCGCAGGTTGGCGAAACAAATGCATTTTGAAATTATTTTCCAAATGACATCCAAACACTAGAAAACTTTTTCGATCACATATCACCAAACAAAGGAAAACTAACCATTTTCCTAGAAAATGATTTCTCGAAAAACATTTTTCAGAAACATTACGTTTTCCGTGAAACAAACGCACTCTAAGGATCGCCCACAAAAATAGTTAGCATAGATTGTTATCGATGATGAAAATGTTTTTCATTGAATAATTTTTCTAAACGATAAAAGGAATCATTTTTCTAAAAATATTTTCTAAATCGCTTATTTTCCGTTAAACGAATGCACTCTAAAAATTTTAGTAAAGAGGGCATGCTTGAGAAAGAAAACGCTTGCCCAAGCCCCACGGGTTCGTACTTTGGGTCTTGGTGGCTAAATCAAGCCTAGCGGGCCCAAGGAGTTGTAATTCCACTTAAAGGGGGTAAGTTTCAATGGTGGCTGGTCACTTGTAAGAGGAAATTATCAAAAAAGTCTTAGACCTATTGTATTTGTGCTAATTATGTCTTCAACCTTTCAATTGTGCCAATTTTGAGTCATAAACCTTTTGTTAATTTGCCAATTTAGTCATTCTGGTCAATTTTGGTCAGAAATTGATGATGTTTAACCAAGCGTCTTACGTGGCACGACCGACGATAACGTGGATAATTACAATTTATACAACTTTATTTTATTTTCTTTTTCTTTTTCTTTCTTCCTCTCAGTCGCCAGGCCCTAGCAAGGCTCGTGCTTGCCGGGATCGGGTAAGCTCGACCTCACTGGATTTGGCGAGGTGGAGCCTCGCCGACCCTCTCCTTGAGGCCCGGCGACCAGTGGAGAAAGAAGGAAAAAGAAAAGGAAAGAAAATATAATATAATATATAAAATATAAAAAATTGTCCATTTCAGCATTGGCCATACCACGTAAAACGCCTAGCATCCATATTATCAATTTCCGGCCAAAATTGGCTGAAACTAAATTGGCAAATTATCAAAATGTTTAGGACTCAGTTGACACAATTGAAAGATTAAAACCGAATTGACACAAATATTATAGGTTTATGACTTTTTTTTGTAATTTTCCCGATCACTTAATCTTATTTTATATTTCAATCGTGACTTGATATTGATTTCCAAAATATATATAGTTATAGTGAAGAAATACTTTGGGTCCTTACAGAACAAAAGCAAATCCTTTTTATTTTTGCAAAATGCATTCCTTCTTTTATCAGTTCATGATATAGTGATTGGATCTCTACGCTTATTTCGATATGAAGTGAAATGTTCAAAAGATTGCTCATAGAATGATTATTCATCTATTATATATTCACATAAATAGGGTGAGAAAGCTCTGCGAGAAAATGATTGTGCATTTCGATATTTCGATGTTATATAAAAGAATACATTCACTTTTTATTTTTTGATTTTAAAAATATACTTCTTCATAATAAAATTTGACCAAATCGTGAAAACTTGATATCATGCCAACGGAGCGATTACGCGGCATCCTAAAATTGGCCAGGCGTCCGCCACATCACCGGTTTGTTCCAAAATCGATCGGATTCCGGCCAGAGCACATAAAATGCGATAGCCGAAATTCGCCAACGCGGCGTTGTCAGAGAAGATTGACCATGTAAATCGCTGGCGTGGCCCAGAGCACATCAGAAATTTCAATCAAACGCCATGATGGAAATTCACCAAAAGAGGTCAGCCATTACGTTGCCAACTTGATGTGGCTCATGAACCGTGTGGCCAGACGAAAGCGCCGGAGAAGATTTTCGTTGCTGCTTTTTTGACATTTCCAAGGGTGTGCTGTGGTATGGTGGGTCTCCGTCGGGACTCAAAGGGTCAACGTTCGAGGTTTCGAGAAAAATGGTTCCCTCTGATCTTTATCCAGTTGCGCTCGTTGATTAGCTTTTGTCGCGGGTAAATGATACAAACAGTGTCTCTTAAATTTAGCCTAACGTGTAATGTGATTTCCGAACTTTACATTTATTCAATGTGATCCATGAACTTTAACTCAATGTGCAATGCCGTCCCTGAACTTTTGATTTTTTTCAACGTGGTTCATAAGCTTTTTGTACATATTCAATTTAGTCTCTAGACTGTTTGAAAATATTGTCCCTGAACTTGAATTAATAGAAGGACGATATTGAACATTTCCATACAGTCTGAGGGCTAAATTGAATATGTATAAAAAATTCACGGATCTTATTACATGAATTTAAAGTTCAATGATCACGTTATATATTTGGCTAATGTTTAAGCACTGTTTGGTATCGTTATCCTTTTTGTTGTCAATGCATGAGCCTATCGGATGCGACAGGGACTGGGTCAGAGAGAAAGACCATATTGAAAGCCCTATCGCCACCGCCACCGCCACCACCAATCGGACGTGGACTTTCTGATGCTAACCCAATTGATTGATTTAACATCCTCGAGACTTTTGGAGGGGTGCGTTGAACTTTGTATTGATTAGCTAGACTCGGGTCTTCTTCGCGGTTCCGTCTCGCAAGGAGATATGACGTGAGAATAATGACGGGGAGATTTCAATTCGCTGCGTTTTGATGGGATAATCAAAACGTTATATCATCCTTTCGTCTAGTGCTACTTTTGAAAACGATAGGTACTAATCTTATTATAAAAAAAAAATTTATGGTGATCGGAGCGGGAAGGTTTCGAGTTCGGATCTCTCGAGATCCCCCTTTATTCGCTTCCATTATTATGTGTTTTTGCATGGTCGGGATTGTTGGGATTTAAATGTTAAATCGCGCCTTCTATATACGACGATTTAAGAACTTAAGTTTTTTAGAGCAATGATCTCGCGTTATAAAGAATAAGACGAAAGCCAAAATACATCCTCCGGAAGCCGGCATCCGGCATTCGATCGACTCGCACGAGAGTTCGATCTCTACTTTTTCCTTTATCATCTCTTCTACGAACGCACGGGGTTTTTCTCATGCCGTTCGCCGCCGGCGGAATCCCGATTCGCGCGAAGGCGCCCAGACATACGGAACGGGAGAGATTTGAAGCCGTGACGGAGCATGGAAATGGTCAAAACCAGGTCGCCGCTCCGAACGATTCTTTGGCCCCTTAAAAAACCAACACCCCACACGTCTACGTACTGCCAAATCGATAAGAGGCCGTCGCCTCACACATGGACACATCGACGCGAGGATTAAGTGCTGGAAGTATGGGAAGTCCAAAGGGGAGGCGAATCCCAGAGATGGGTCAATTTTGGGGTCACGCAAGAGACTTTGGGACCCCCGGAAAAGGGGGTTCCGCAAACGTGACGTGTGGGAACACTCCCTTTTAACCCCTATCATATTGTAAGGGTTTTTTTGCATAGTCCTCCTCTTTGGACCCTAGCCAACCCCCACCCGAGCCGAGCCAACCCAACCACCAGTCTCCCGCCGGACCCCCGTTGACCGTTGACCGTCCCGGCGAGGCGAGGGGACCGTCTTCTTCCAACCCGGTTTCTTCCGTGCCATTGCCCTAGCTTTGCAGATTGGTATACCGCTTCCCCGTCTTGGCGATTAAAACGAAATTGAAGAGCCGAGGTTTCAAGAAAAGGGCGGATCGGATAGCCGGATCTAGGGCGGAAGGACGGCGCATTGTGAATTTTGGTGCTGAAACTTTTCGAACGGATGTTCAAGTTCCACGGCCTTGAACATGTAGTTGGTAAAGAATCGGTACTGCATTGATCGTTCGCGAAGTTTTCGCCTTGTTTGGGGTTTGATTTTTGCTTAGAGATGCTTCTTAAGTCCTAAGGGCAAGGTCACAAGTTACTATATATATATTTCTATCACGTGAGTATATTACCAACACTTACGTGGAGAGTCCACAATAGCAACTCGATTATCGGCAGATAAAAATGAAACGGGGCCGGTTCTTGCATGACCTTTTGTATTCGAGTTAGGTTTACACATGAAACGCATATCGGCCACTGATAATTCACTTTCCTTCCAAATATTTGAAAATAGAAGGAACAGTTGCAAAAGCGAAACCGTAAGAACGATCAGATCCGTAAGCGAAAAGCTAAAAGACGAATTTGCGAACCTACGATTTCCGCTCATAATTGACTATTTTAACGGAACGACAGAGACCGATTTCTCGAGCGACGTGATGCTGCAATAGTAATCGGATATTTCGATGAAGATATTTTTAAATAGACAATAAAGAAAAGACGGGAAAAGAAACCGAATTGGAGATACGTATTTAAGACGATGACCCGCCAAACAACAAGGAAAAGGATCAATTTATATACGCATAATACATACAATACATACATACAAATATAATATATGTGTGGATCACAAATTTACAAAATTAAAATAATAGAGCAGCGGTCAAACCTCGTGTTTCATCTGCCACACTACTACAGTTCTTCCGCATTATCATTTATTATTTATTATTGTATAAATAAATTAGCTGCTCCAATCTCGAATTAAATTTAATCAGAGGGAAAAAGAAAAAGGAAAGGGAGGCGCGGGGCCCGCCGGAAGGGATCGGAATCGGATCTGGGCCGTCGATCCGCGGCGGCTCGAGCGTGGGCCCTCCGATCAGTTCCCCCCCCGCCCCCGACGCGTCCTCGCGCGTTTTCGCCCCTCCTTCGTATCGCGTCTCCTTCCTCCTCCTTTACTTAAGCTCGCCCCACCCCCACACCTCCTCTGCTCCCCAAAACGATCTTCTTCTTCATCGCCATACCAGAGGCATTTCTAGAGAGAGAGAGGAAGAGAGAGAAAGTGAGGTGTGTTGAGGGTTGAGGGTTGAGGCCATGGCGGACGCTGCTCAGAACGGCCAGTTCTCCGACTTCCCGGCGGTCCCGACCCACGGCGGCCAGTTCATCCAGTACGACATCTTCGGCAACCACTTCGAGATCACGTCCAAGTACCAGCCCCCGATCATGCCGATCGGCCGCGGCGCGTACGGCATCGTCTGGTACGCCGCCGCCGCCGCCGCCGTCGCGGACTTCCTGTTGCTGCTTTTTCTGATGATGGGATTTGGTCTGACGGGATCTTTTTTTTCTCTTTTTTTTCTTCTTTTTTTTTTTTTTGTGCGTGCGTGCCGTTGTCTCTGGGTGCGTCAGCTCTGTTATGAACAAGGAGACGAACGAGATGGTGGCGATCAAGAAGATAGCGAACGCGTTCGACAACCACATGGACGCCAAGCGGACGCTCCGCGAGATCAAGCTGCTTCGCCATCTGGACCACGAGAACGTGAGTGTTCGTTTGTGTTCGTGTGTGTGTGTGTCTCTCTCTCTCTCTCTCTCTCTCTCTCTCTCTCTCTCTCGTTAAGACCGATTGGTGCTGATTATGGTTTAGTCTTTTCAAGAATTCTGAAATTTCAATCGCTTCTCGTATAGAAGCAGGTCACTCGTTAATGATCGATTCCCCATACGGTAACTAACTTAAGCTTACTTTAATGTGATAAGTCGAGCCCATAGTTAACTGCAATTACAGGACACCTATGGCTTTAATGGTGTCATAATTGTTAGCTCAGGATGGAAAAATCCGTATCGAATTATTTGAAGTTAATTATTCCATGTATAGCTAATCAAGATGATACTGTTGACAAATTTGGGTTTGCGAGGGCTGACCCTTTGGGCCACTATCCAGATTTCATCGTTGAAATGTGCTCAAGCAGTAGTAGTTTGGTGATGAGTTGATATCGTTAGTCTTGCTGCATCCTGTGCGCGGGATAATACTTTGTGGGGTCTCGGTTATGGAGTGGGTCAACTCAATGATTGGAACTGTATTGGATGACTAGGCCAATCACATGTAGTCTTCAATTTTGAGATATTAAAATTACAAATCTGTTCTTTGTGATATCAACAGCGGTTAAATGGTGGAATTTTATGCATGAAAACAGGTTATTGGCATTAGAGATGTGATTCCTCCTCCCTTGCGGCGAGAATTTACTGATGTGTACATTGCCATGGAACTCATGGACACTGATCTTCACCAAATTATCCGTTCGAACCAGGGCTTGTCGGAAGAACACTGTCAGGTATTAGTCTTCGCATGCTGGTAGCTCCTCCCTATGTTCTGGGCGTTGACTAAGTTTCTAAATTAGATTTTGAAAGCTTGAAGCGTCTTAAAATTATGTGTTTCCTTTTGTTGCAGTACTTCCTGTATCAGATTCTACGTGGACTGAAGTATATACACTCTGCGAATGTTATTCATAGAGACTTGAAACCGAGCAATCTTTTACTGAATGCCAATTGTGACCTCAAGATCATTGACTTTGGCCTGGCACGGCCAACTGCGGAGAATGAATTTATGACTGAATATGTGGTCACCAGATGGTACAGGGCACCGGAGTTGCTGTTGAACTCTTCAGATTATACTGCTGCTATAGATGTGTGGTCTGTTGGGTGCATATTTATGGAGCTTATGAACAGAAAGCCTTTGTTCCCTGGGAAGGATCATGTGCATCAGATGCGTTTGCTCGTAGAGGTAAAGCAATATTCAGATTCAATGATAAAATTAGAGTACTTTCATGTTAAGGTTTACTATGGCTGAATTAACACCATAAAGTACGAATACACAACATTGGTGCATCTTCAAATGCATGTGCAACAATGACGGCAACATCAACTAGGCCTTATCCCACTAACTGCAGAATGTAGATGGTAGAAAATGTCAAACAGTGTTATATAATGGTTTGGAGTTCCTTCTGTGAAGATGCAAATGTCTCTTAGGATCAATTCCCAAAACAATCATAATTTGCCTTTTAGCTCCTTGACCGAATTGAATGAAAAAGGAAGTTAGAAAATCATATGTTTTTTTACAGCAAGGAGCTACTTTCTTTCTTTTCTTTTCAGCATTCTTTCATGTGAAATAACACAAATGTAGCGATCATAACTCTTTTGTGTCTTATTCAAATGACTGAATGATTGTTTTGCTTTCGGATTTTTCAGCTTCTTGGCACACCAGCTGATACCGATCTTGGATTTGTGCGAAATGAGGATGCACGCCGATACATAAGACAGCTTCCTCGACATCCCCGTCAACCATTAACTAGTGTTTTCCCTCATGTTCATCCTTTGGCCATCGATCTGGTTGATAAGATGTTGACATTTGACCCAACAAAGAGAATTACAGGTAATGTTCATGTTTCTCACCTCTATTCTCGGCCTCTGCCAACTCTGATATGCAAGGAACTTGTGCATACACCTTAGATAGTGCAAATTCCATTCTCCTATAACTCGTCCAGATTATCAAAGCTTGGCCTTGTTAAGGGAAATTGGATTATGTTAATAATGGTTGGTGTCTGGAGTGAGAGACAGCCATATCAAATACAAAGTGATTTTGGTCAACAGTGACAGAATTTCAGAGCCATAAAATGTCGTTGAATGGTCCATCCATCCATTTTGTTTGTTCAAACAGATATGGTAGCACGAGTACGTTTAAGTTCATTCCTAAGTTCATTCACTTATTTTATGCAATATGTTGCTTCTGTGTTTCAAGGACAAAAACTAAGCATTCCTAGGATTTTCGCCTGTTTAAGCTCTGTCATGACCTAATATATGACTTATGGAGGCAAGATATCAATCAAAGAACTTTTAACCGCAGATCCACCTTCAACACTTATTCTGGTAAATTATGCACTTACCGATCAACTCATCTTTTGGCAGTTGAAGAAGCACTTGCTCATCCTTATCTTGCAAGATTACACGACATAGCTGATGAACCCGTGTGCCCGCACCCATTCTCTTTTGAGTTTGAGCAACAGCCCTTGGGAGAAGAGCAGATGAAGGATATGATATATCAGGAGGCTATAGTGCTCAATCCAGAGTTTGCTTGATGCTGTTCAAAGTTTTTATGATGAACAAGGAACTGCGAACTAAAGTGGAAACAATGCAGTGGAACGAAATGAAGAGTTGCAAATATTCACTGAGGCAACCGAACCTGTTGATTGATTGTTCCATGGAGTAAGTATGCCACACCACGAACACTGATTTGGACTGAGCTTTCGCTCCATCAGTTGAATAAGCCTGCTTAATTCCTCACAACGCCTTTTGGCATTCTTTAATTAGCTTGTATTCCACTCATCGTGCTTTATTTCATTTTCCTTCATTTTGTTGTAATATTTACCGTGGTTTGTAAATTTGTTGTTCTGGAAGATGTATTAGAATAATCATCATTTTCTTTTTGTGTTCACTGAATCGTGCTTCAGTTTATGAATGCTAGCTAATCTGTATGTAACACGCAAAGCAGAGTGCTACAGCTTTTATCTGTGCCTTTCCATCTTCTGCTGCTCCAATCCCTTTTGTTTACGGAAGATTTCTCGGATCTTATTGCAAGAATCGCTAGCGAGGCAGGTTGTTGCGTTCGCCTTTGCGTTCTTACGGTAACGCCTCTGATGTGGTTGAGCGGTTCCGCCTTCCCCGGTTTTCGATGGCAATCTATTCATCATGAGATTGGCAACTCCATGTTTTCGAACCTTGAGAAGTGACCCCATTCTTGCAAGAAAGTCGTCGGCAAAAGAAGCTGAACGTCTGTTGGATGAGCGTCTCATCTGTGGTATAGCTTTTTCTGTTATTGGGTAATAAAACGGGCCCAAAGCTGAAATCCATAATTGCTGAGTTTAGTGATGCTGGGAGGTGATCATACACAGATAAATTCGAGCATTTTCAAAGCTGATTCGGCTAGTGATCCCACCTGAACACTGCTCCACTACGGGGTACTGTTTCTTCTTGGCGATTCGTCTCATCTCTTCGGGTCGCAGGACACGGACAAACTAGTACCAAGGCGGAGTACCGTGCTCTTGCTAACACGGCATTCGAGCTTCCGTGGCTTCTGTCGGTTTTCAAAGGTATGGGAGTGCAGAGCTCCACTGCTGCTATAATTTCTTGTGGCAGCAGAAGTACTGCTCAGATTGCCCGGTAATAATGCATTCGGCGCCTAAACCAAGCATATTGAGATAGATTGTCCTTTCATGTGATAGCATATCTGCTGGGGGATCATCCGTGTAGCTCCAGTTATGTGGATTGATCAAGCTCTTGATCTCTTCACCTCATTCCTTACTCGATGGTTGCCTAATCTCTATAAACAGGATAACTCCTATTTACATCCTAATTGAGCAAACATAAGCTTATAATACAAATTTCCGTGTTCTCTCACATTTCTTAACTCGGGTACGGTGACTGCGCGTCGCGCGGTTACGCCCAAGTTATAGCTTGTATCGGAGTCCGGACATTTTGACAGAGGAGGTCATTTGAGGTATATATTTATTGCGAAAGTCCTCGCATTGTTATTCTATTATGAGATGAATTCACAAAGAAAAAAGGGAAACAAGCAAAATATGAATGGCAATGGGCTTCGCAAACTATGAACCGTCCTTTGACACACCGGACTAAAGCTTGTTCTGTAAGAGAAACATATGGCGAAATTTTTTTAAGAAGCATATATTTCCGTTACGAATATGAAATTTATTGAGGATAAATTCTTTCAACCAGCAACGATTTTTGCAGTATGGCCATTTTGATTATTGAAATTAATTTCCGTATAAGAGAAAAATGTAACTTTAAAATTATTTTGCATTTTTTTCTTACATCTTTTACGAGTACTTTAGTTTGGCTTTGCGCGTATAGCTATCTAATTAACACTAAATTGAGATCTTATGGAATTAACAGTTAACTTTACACATTAAAGTCTTTCTCTAGAGGGGAAAAGTACCAAAAAAGTTATAAGCCTATTGCGTTGGTACTAATTCAGTCATGACCTTTTAATTAGACCAATTTAGTCCTAAAAATTTTCATGTTTTGCCAATTGAGTTCATCCGGCAAATTTAGGCTGGAAATTACTAACGTAGTCGCCGGTCGTCCTACATGGCATGGCTGGCATAGGATGGCGACACTGACATAGATAATTTTTTTAAAGTTTTAAATATTTTTTTCGAATTTTTTTATTAATTTTTATTTTATTTTTTGATTTATTTTTTTCTTCTTTTTTTCTTTTTCTTTTTTTTTCCACTATGGCTAATGAGGGTTATTGGAGCTCACCGGCCACTAGGCGATGCCACCCTTGCCATGGCCTAGCAGGCCGCAGGCGAAAGTAGCCTCACTCGCGGCTGCCGAGGCCATGGCTGCCTTTGCCCACGACCATCCAATCACCTGCACCTCGCCCTAACCATCGCCAAGTCACCTCACAAGTGAGACCATGGCCGCCTTGACCCACAGCCGATGAGGTGGCCTCGCCCAGTAGCTGACGAGCTCTAACAACCCTTGCTGGTCACAGCGGAAAAAAAAAAAGAAAGAAAAGAGAAGAAAAGAAAAATTAATAAAAAATTTCGGAAATTTTTTTTTAGAAAATGTCCATATTAGTGTCACGTAGTACAGCCGACGTTCACGTAAGCAATTTCCAACTTAAATTGGCCGAATAGTTTGAATTAGCAAAATATGAAAAGGTTTATGACTAAATTTGTCTAATTAAAAAATTTATGATTGAATTTTTCCCTATCTGGAGTGGTTGGCACCTCACCACTAGGTTAATTAGGCGGTCCTGCTTTATTTTCCAGTTTTCTTTCCTTCTTCCCGTACTATTTCCATTTTTTTCCTGAGCAACGCAGCAAAAATCATGACTCTATATCTTCTTCTGCTCGAGCCATCTATAACGACTCGAATTTCCATAAAATTTAAACCTCAATTGCACATATACTTTGACTTCACTTTAATCTTCCGATAAAATAACTAACTTATCTTCGATTTGACAAATAATTTAACCTCAAGTAATATACATCAAAACATTATGTATAGAAATCCATCTCCACCTTCTTTGCACACACTGGTCCAAACCTTACAAGTTATCGTCGGAAGCATTAATCTAAAGGCTCCTGAACTACATATCAACAACCTTGCCCATCGACATGCCATCGCCGTTGCAACAAAGGGGGACCATCGAAACCCTTCGACAATCCAACTAACTCACCGCCGATATTCCAATACCAAGCAACAAATCGATAGAAATCCACTCTAATAGCCCCACAACGACCCATACAATATAACTACACTTTGTATATACTCCTGACAATACAAGCTCATCTTGATATTTCCCAATCAAACTACACGGAAGCTCCAAAAAGTAGTGACGGCAGGGATCCATCCTACATATCTTAAATGGAATTTTGAACAACCAAAGCCTTTAATTACTTTGTAAGACTCTTGAAAGTTGAGCTAAAATCACAACTTAATTGGATAGTTGAAGGTTGATTGAAACTTTGAATCGGAAAAAGTTGATTTGTTTATGGAAGATAGGAAGATGAAGCAATTCTTGAAGTGGAAAATGAAGGGAGTGATGTCTCGACCACGAAAGGGGAACAGGGTGTTCTTTTATTTTCTTTTTCTTAACTACACTTGTAATGAATGCTACAAACCTTGGTTGAGTTAAAATGTCATGAGTGATGTCATTTTGATGGCTAAGTTCAATGGCACCATTAAAAGCATGTGGGTTAAATACTAGGTCTAGAATGAAGAGAAGTGTTCAGGTGAAAGGGTGACAAGTGGCTTACTTTGGGTGATTAAAAAGAAGATATTTGATGCTTCGTCAAAATAGTTTGCAATTCAGTAAAGATACAAGAAAATCGGTGCCTGTTCTAAACATCGATAAGTCAAAAAAATATTTTAAACCCAATGAAATTCTCTGCAAAAGCTATCGAACATTAGGAAAATCTCAACTTAGTGAATTTTAACTTTGAAAATTATTCTATAAGTATTTCGGAGCATGTCGATCCCTGCCAACAATTACTATGGCAATATGTGGTTCACCTCACTCTATATAATCAACCTATGTACAAATGCCCGGCAATTACATCCTAATGGAATCACATTCCGAAAGTCACGGATACGTAAATACTTGTTGCTTTCGCGCACGATAAAGTCAATAATTCAACTGGGATTTGTACTTGTGACATTTATCGTCTTCATTTCCTACATATTAGTAATTGATGTAGGAATTTCCGGATGTCACACCATCGCCCGCTGTTGCCGCCCCGCCTTCGTCGGAAGGAATAGATTTAACTATTTCATAGGCAATTTATGACAGTAGGGCATAAGGGAGTAGTAACAAGCGATTAAAGCTTGATGCGCTGTGAATCGGTATACGCGACTTGTTGACTAATTGAGCTCCATTAGATTTTGATTTGGTGTTATTAATGTGTCAATGATATTAACGTTTCATTTTACCTCCTAGGTTGAGAGGATTCACTTCACAGATTCTTTGGCTGCGGCTAAACTTTAAAAGATGTCCAACTTGATAGTAAGAGCAAGACCATAACATTAGAAGCTGTGAATGGTTCCAAATAAGTGGGGAGACTTCCAAGTTGCAATTGCTTATGAACAATCATCTATTAGAGAGGCTTGTAAGTTTCCGTGCCGATAGGTTTTTAGATGGAATGTATCTTTGAAGCCAAATAAACATACTTACGCTTCTGTCTAATGATGGAAAATAAACGCCATTTCTACGTATAGAACTTCATGAAGTAGCTCCCGATGCTAATCATGTTCGTATGCCAGAGAATATCGCGACCCAGAATGCACTTGTAACGCAGTCGCACCTTACTGCGCTTTTCAATTTTGGACAATCAAATGCTCTATCGAAAAGCAAAGTGAGAGTTTCCGGGTTACAAGGTCAGATCGACGAGAGAAGTTAACAAGTCTTTTCTTTAATAGCATAGTACAATGAAACTTGCATAAGATCTATTGATTGTCATCATATCAGATAGACATGGGAAACTTTACTCGAAGAGACAAAAAAGACCCTATCAAGCCGCAAGTCCCGGTTGGTCATCATACTTCTACTCTCTACTCTCATTGCTCTATGCCTTCATATTCTGATTAGAGTCTGCTGTTCCTGCAACAAAACTTCAGATTAATTCTCGTTCTGTAATGACAACCCACATAAATATGAACGTATAGTGTTGTGACTGGTACATATATGCATAGACAAGTGTTAGTTACGACTGCGAGTAGAGTGAATGACGACGTATAACCCCATGATTCAGTCTATCTGACTCACTGTCTAAAAAACTTAGAAGGAAAGAGGCAATGTCACATTTGTCATGGCCGTGTCAAACGTGCCGTTTCCCAGATCATATAAATGTTCTTGAGCGTATGTAGATTTGATACAAAAACATAAGTTCTAACACACAAGGCAGAATAAGTCATGATCAAAAACTTCTTTCTCCAACTGAGCATTGGAGTACACATGACATTTTGCGAGGGCTTATGGTAATATATGTGCTCGACGAGTCCAGAAGCCAAGTAAAGAAATTTATCTATGCAAAAATTCAGGAAAAGAAAAACAAAACCCAAATTACTTAGAATCTGTTTGGGGTGAAAACCAGAGAATTATCAACTAAAAAAACAGGTGCACGGATGTATTAAAAGAAAAGGCTTACCGGCTTAGGGCAGTCAGCATACAGGTTATATATGGTAACAGAGGCACGCCTCAGTAGTAGAGCGACCCTGAAATTGCCAATTTTCACAGAGATATTAGGTTTCCTTTCTAAATCAAACCGGGAAAAGTAAGCTCTTCAGAATATATATATATATATATATATATATATATATATATATATATATATATATATATATATATATATATTTTAAATCCTGGTTAAGGAGATGATGAACGTTTACAGACCCTGCCACCAATTCCCTCTTGAAGCACTGTCCGAGTTGCTTCCGTTTGGATCATCATTGACACCGTCTTTCTTGAACTGAAAGATAAAAACCAAAAAAGTTTCATACTTAACAAGCATTGATGCTATGTATTGGATTAAAAGCAAAAGGACGAATTAGTTTTTACGAGGGAGTCAGATTCGGCGGTTCTCGGGGGATAATTCTCTTGTCCACCATAGTAGATGGATGAACTCAGGTAACATGGCTCAGCTGCTTCATTCTGGTATATGGCACTCTCGGCCTTGCTAGTTGCAATATTCCCATCACCCTTAAAGCTTTGACCTTTAGTCGCTCCTAAGTTGGCCAAATAGATAAGGAATAGAAAGGACATGAGAACATATGAGAAAGGTCAAACAAAGAAGAAAGATGATGTAAAACATCGAGTCGATAACGACACCATGCCGATATCATGGCAGAAAACATAGCAACTTGTCATGATAATCACATGATCTAACTTTCATGTGATATACTTTAGTACACACAATACCGTCATATACACTCCTCACCATATAAATTCCTCTAAAACGAAGAAGGCCAATGCGAATTAATTGGCTAATTTGATCGACGCACCCAATTTCTCACGTGATTATAAGAAAGTAAAATGACAATTGAAGACTCCAAAACTTTGTTATTTCAGTATTGTGTTCGACAAACCTGGATTTCCATATTTCCAACTGCCGACTTGATTTCCCAAATCCGGGTTTCTGGGGGAGCCTATATATGTCTCAGAACGGGAATGGTTGTTAATCCTTCCTAGGACCTGAATAATTAGGAGGATACATAAGGAGATCAAGCAAACAGCATTTATTGCATGAACATAGTAACTCTAGAACCATATACAGACATCATTAGACTAGAAAAAAGTATATATAAAGACCCTAATCATGCCTTGAATGCAATAAAGGACAGCTCAGTCAAAGACTACTGGAAAAATCAGCACTGCAACTCAGATCACTCGCATCCAGCTTAGGTCTAAGGCATCATATTGATTTTTAGGAAACATGTTGGAAGATTGGGCACTCTCTTGCACTGCTTCATAAACAAACCCAAAAGAGGAAGGGAAAAAAAGGATCACTTCAGCTTTGCATACCAAGCAAAAGGTTCAGAAGTAATAATTCTTATGAACGACCCATATTTGCAGTTAGTATTGCCATGGCTCTGCCACGACCTTCGTAATTAAACTCCGAGTTCATGTGAAGCCAGTGTGTCATAGCCGTCACCTTAAAGCACTCCAGTTTTTATGGCTCATCCTCAAAACTCTTCTAGAGAGAGAGAGAGAGAGTTACCGTGGATGGTGGAGGGAAAATAGAGCCGAAGCTCCCGGAAGAAGGAGAAAACGAGTCTTTGGGACCAAAGAGATGATCCAGACTGTTGCTTGCGTTGGTGTTATTAGGTGAGGAAGAAGAAGAAGAAGAGTTGCCCACTTGCCTTCTGCTGTTTTCCATTATTCTCTCAACTTGACGCAACACTGCTCAGTCAAAAAGACAAAAAAACTCCCCCCTAAACACTTGAACCCAACGAACAAAACTACTCACTCTTTCGTTTCAAAGAAAATGAGAATATAAAGATCAGATTTGGGGTTTGTGTTGGGTAGACACAAGGCCGTGACAGAAGAACACGCGCAGAGAGACAGACTCGAAGATCCAGAAAAAGGGAGGGGGGCAACGGATAAGATATGCAGGAGAGAAACAAACGGATAACTAGCAACTGCTCAGAGACGGCACGTGAAGATTGCAGAGCGAGAAGGGGGGGGGGGGGGGTGAGAGAGAGAGAGAGAGAGAGAGATTGGTGATGAAAACGGTCTTCGTTCGAAGCTACTTATATATAGATTGAAATGTGGGCGAAGGTGACGTTCCCCTGTGCTCTCATTCAATTCGATTCTCGTTTCCAAAAAGACTATCGCATGCATCCCGAACACGCAAGTCCATTCCATCTCAATCATCGAATAGTGCAGATTTCTTGTGAGATCCGCATGTTATAATGGTCCAAATGGGCGCATGTGACATCGACATCGGGTTATCTCCACGTGTGCGTATAGCATTCCTCCAAGTGGACATGTTGCGTTTTCCCGACCATTGGTTTTGCCTACGTGTGACGTGCCGTTGCGTTTGACTTATATAGCAGGTTGTTGCCCGTGGCATGCTCTGAATCAAAGAACAAGAGGGTTTTGGAATCACATCAAGATGAGTCATCTTGGAAATAATTCACAACACTCGTTGATCGATACCTGTGGAAATCAGATAGTTGCACGGCAGATTTTCTAACCCTCATCATAGATCAATCGTATTTGTGAATTAAAATCCTCTAATGACATTATAAAATCTAATAAAATTTTAATAAAAACCCACTCAAGTGGAAAGAAGCACCTGTTCAAAAAAAAGATTCGTATCCATGCCAAATCTTGCATTTAATTGAAATCTTCTATAAATTCACAAAAGTTATATTAAAATGTTAGCACAATGATCTCAAAACAAGTGGTTTGATCTAGCGGTAATCAACAGTAAAACCGAAAGATCTTCGTCTGTAGGCACTGTCTTCCTCGTGAAAGACTCAAGGTAATTGCAAGGAGAATTTAAGATGGTCTAGGAAATTGTGTTCGTAAATAGATTCTTTTGACAAAAGAAAAAGAAGCTTTGATGTATTTCAATAATTGTTCCGCAATATAGAATGCATCATACAGTTAATGTAGACAAGGACAAGGGGAAATGAATGTCATTGGAAAATGACGTGATGACAAGAAATGAATGTCCCATACGGCACTTTGGTCAAATTTGTCCTATTGGAGTTGTATGTGTGGGCTTCAATAAATTGAGTGCTCAGGAGGAAGAACACGAGGTCCTCCCTCCATGCAGGTTTCTCTCCTAGCTTTAGTCACGGGAGCATTCAGTGCCGTGTTTCTAACGCTTTTGACCAGTACAATCGGTGGATTTTGTGGACTGAGTGCTCCGCGGTTAACGAATATCTCAAACACTTTATTTAGCGAATGCCTTCTTTTCTTTGTGTTTAAGTCAAATAATTGACCAACTTTTAGTTATTACCGACATATGATAAACTTAATCGATAAAAAAAGAGTTTGATCATCTATGAACAAAATTATTGACAATTTGATAAATCGACAGCTCGAAGGAATCGATAAAAAGTGAATACGACAATCTCGGATTCAACTGTCAAAAAAGTAACCGTCAACGTAGTGGAATAAAACAGCCGTCAAGATTATGGAGTCGAAAAAACTGTCAAGGTATTGAGTCAATGTAGCCATCGATATAACCGTTCGGTAAACGTTTTTAACATCTGTTTGTAACCTCTATTGATAACCGTCGATTGTAAACTTAAATAGCTCATACTCTTCGGATCCCCCACCCCACACATACACATACACATACACAAACAAACAAACATGTTATCTTTCAATTCCTGCATTATAGTTACAGTTTCCAGATTCGCTTCGTAAATTAAATTCTGATGTGTTACTTAACTGTAGTTTATAGATCTGCGTCGTTGATTCAACTCTGACGTGTATTATTGCTATAATTCTTGGGTGCCTTGTCATTGATTAAACTCCAGCATTACATCTTTATGTTTTCAGGCTATATTGTTGATTAAATTCCGACAAAGTATATGTATATTTGGTTTTGTTTAAAGTGAAGTTCTCGATTCTCTTGTCTATCAATGATACTTCCTATTTGGAATTGCCACAGAACTTGTCTCCTCCAATTAAAATCAAAGAACGACTTTCGATGAAAGGTATTTCGTCACGGAGTCGAATTCCAGCGAAGCATCTTTTTGGCATGCCCAATAACTAGTGTGATCGATTTAAGGTGATACGATGCTAAGAATAAGGAATAATCTAGAGCTTGATCACGTTGCAGGTGACAACCCGGTTTTTATAGCTACCCAATTTGAAACCTCAACTACTCCGACAGTAGAGGCAAGCCAAGGAGGCAACATCGAAATCGCGCAGCACTTGACAGAGGAGCAGAGAAGAGAGTTAGCATCAAACCTTACTTTAGTGGCTACCATGAAAAAGTTGTTCGAGGAATAGCAGAATAAGATGGCAAATCATATAGTAAAACACATTTTTGATGTGATCAGGTGGATGGTCATCAATGCGATTAGCGACGTCATCTCCAAGCCTAAGACATTCAATCTGTCCATTCCAATCCAACCGTACACAGCGGCTTCTGGGTATGTTCCTCCAACTCTTAGTCAATTAAACGGTAGAAATAATTTAGGTCAAGTAATTTCACCACCAGTGAGGATTTTATAAGGGCTTGAAAATCCTATTTACCCTAAACCTAATGGCAAGAAGGGTGTGAACTTGCGAATCCTTATTAAGTGACTAAACTTGTATTACAACAGCTAGTGGCCGACAAAGGAATGGTCAAGCCAATATATAGGAAGCCACATCATGATTAGGTTGACACTATACCTTACACAAGAAAATTCAAAACCGGTCAACCTTTTGAACGCATTGGTCAATTATTGCCCAATGTGGAGAGGTAGAAACATAAGAATTCCTGAGATTTAATTTGTTCTCTGTCTTTTTCAAAAGTTGCCTTTACTTGGTATACGAAATTTATCTCCTCATTCAATTCATACTTAGGCTGAGATGGAATAATAATTCAATCCTCAATTTTATAGAAGAAAACCTGAAATTTCGATGACTAATTCGGTTAGAAATTATCGATACGATAATGAATCAATCGCTCGGTTTGTTGCTTAATTTAAGAGGGCTAAGAATAGATGCCTTACTTCACTTTCAGAGAAAGACTTCACAAATTTTGGCTTTTGGTGGATTGATAGAGAAAAATTCGAAGGCCAAAATTTGGCCTAGTTATTCTAATTGGCAACAAGATTATCTAAGTATGAGCAATTACTTAAAGACAAAGATAAGAGGGCCACATGAAGATTTTACACAAAATGTGCCTTTTGTGGAACAATACGAGTCATGTGATGAATCTGACCAAGATAAAATTCTGCAAAAAAAAAAAATTGCCAATGACAAGGGAGCACATGATGACCCTTGATTATTTAATTTTAAAAAATCAAATACTCGATGAATCAATCAATTCTTTTAAAGAGGGCATTTGATTGCACAAAAAATTATCAACTTTTGGTTATTATCAACATGTGATAGAATTAGTCAATGAGAGCGGAGTTTGGTCATTTATGAACATAATTATGGACAATTTGAAAAATCGACAACTTGATTAATCGATAGCTTGAAGGAATCGATAAAAAGTGGAGTTGACAATCTCGAGTGCACCTGTCAAAGAAGTAACTGTCGACGTAGTGGAATAAAACAATCGTCAAGATAGTGGAGCGGAAGAAACCGTCGAGATAGTAGAGTCGATGTAACCGTTTGTAACCTTTGCTTGTAACCTCTAATAGTAACCTCTATTGTTAACCATCAATTGTAGACTTTAAATAGCCACATTGTACTATTCAGAGGCCCCCTGCGCACAAACGAATAAGCAAGTTATCTTTCAATTCTTGGACTGTAGTTATAGTTTCTCGTTGATTAAATTCCAACGTATATCTTTGCTATAATTAATTTCCAGTATTCCATCTTTATGTTCCAGGCTGCATCGTCAATTAAATTCCAGCATAGTTTGTGTACATTCGATTTTGTTTGAAGTGAGTTCTCGATTCTCTTGTCTATTTATGATATTTCCTATCTGGAATCGCCACAAAATCCGTCTCCTCTAATGAAAATTGAATAGTAACTTTTGGTAAAAGGTATTTTATCGTAGAGTCGAATTCCGGCGAAACACTTTGATAATAAGTAATCAATGCATTGAAACATTCGTAGGTTTGTTTTGCAAATCTCTTGGGACACCGATAGTTAACAAGACTCGCATAATAGGGATGAATGTTTTTTGTTTTTGGATTATGTGCGATGGCTCGATTACTTTTACGAAAAGTTTTTTCCCAAAGAAACAAGAATTAAACTGCGTGTAATGTTGGTGGACTAGATCAGGAAGTAGTTGTACACTACACACTTCTCATGTTGAAAATTCACGATTGATGCGATTGTTATCCCCACATGCATCCATCGAACATCAGTCCAATCTGCTGTTGGAACGAATATTGTGAAAACCTCCATAGACTTTAGGGTTTTGGGGGAAGATGGATAAGGTAAGACTATGTAGGACGAAGCAACTTGATACCTAAATTCTTGAAAAAGGAATAACTTTTGAGATCAAAACCGAAAGACAATCGAGGGTTTAAACCATTTTACCACGGTAAGTTACACACGACAACAATCAACCCAAACAACTTCGGGTAAGTTACACACGACAACAATCAACCCAAACAACTTCGAGCATGTATGGCACGACACGAACACGATGAAGTCGAAACCGACACAAACGAGTACGTGTTTAGACTCATTTTTCAACTAAGAAACAGTTTATTATTACATTAACCCAAAGTGCACAGAAAGATACCAATAAAGCGGCATGGAGAAATAATGTCACCATATTCATTAGCAGCCTCAGATACAGCGTGATCTCGTGGAAGCGAATTTGAATCTCTACACCGAAATTTAGAGATCGCAAATCCTGTTCTCGGATACGATACCATATACTTTTGACTCCCCGAGGAGCGTGGCTCACATTCTCAATCTGCATCGCCAAGAAGATCAAGAAAAAGATACCCATAATTGACCAGAAAGTCGTCACTATCTTCTTCTTCGTCGCTATCATATCTTTGAAGAATCGAAGACGGAATATATATATCGAGGGCTTCGAAAGAGACGGTGGGA